TTTCTTTGGAATGGGTACAAATATGGATCTCTTCCAGTCAGTGGGTCAGGTAGCTGTCTTCCAAATCTCTTGGCATAACTGAGTGAGTGCCTCCTGCAGGGCATCTGTTTGTTGAAACATCTCAATGGGTATTCTGTCAATTCCTGGAGCCTTGCTCCTCACCAATTCCCTCAGAAAAGTTTTGACTTCTTCCCTCAATACTATTGCTTCTTGAACATATGCCACCTCCTGAAATGAAGATCGACCAGTTCTTTTTGGTACAGTGAATCACAGAGGATACAGTAATCTGATATCTTCTGTATTTCTAGCTATATCCAAACCTACTGAAATGTGAAAAAAAAAAATTTGTTTTTTGAAACAAGTACTTTACATATCAACCATTAATTTTATGCTCTACTGCTCTAGCTCAATAATGAGTTTCCAAGAAATGTTTAATATTGATAAGAAAACAGAAAGTCCCTTTATGATATGAATCTACAGAGAAACTACATCACAGTGTACATACAAGAATCATGCCAACCTTCTGTTTACATGACATTCAGCTTCTTTGATGACCCAGGTTTAGGTAAAGGAAGGGAGGTCCCATATGATTAGGTTTCAAGTGCAGATAATAAAAGTCCCTCTTCAAGAACAGATGTTCTTAAGCATGTCTCTCCAGAATATCTAACATGTCACTCAAAGGAGATAATTTATTCCTGAGAGAAAAAGACAAGCTTTTCTAATCCTGTATGGAAACTTCTTTATATATCTATGTAGTGCAAGATAGAAAAGTTTTTAGGTGTTGTTCACATGTCCAGAACAAGATTCACTAAGGGTAAGGTGATTTATTTAAATGTGTTTCTTCCACAATTTCTGCCGCTGACACCACCTTACCAAAGCCATGTATAGTTCTCTTAAGTGTTTCAAGTAAATCTATTCTAAATTCAAATCCCAGATTTTCTGGGGAAATATTTTGAATTTTTAGACTAAAAGGAAAGGTTTTTATAAACTTTTGCTTCACTATCAAATTGTATATATATTCTCTTGGCAAGTGCTACATATCTTTCATACAGAAAATTATTTACTTAAAAAGGAGATCATACTGAAGATGGAACTGTTACTGAACACCCCAAACATCCCTGAGTTCATCTCTAAAGACCATTAAGGTAAGTCTTTAATAGCATTGTCTCTTGTTTAAGGTTATTACTATTCATATAGTAATAAATTACTATTTTCATACATAAATTACCATTTTCAACACTTCCCAAATAGAGTAGTGAAGTATTTACTATACTCCATTACTTTATTCCAAACATTCAAGATATTTGAGTAACTACAATTAACCTCACTCAAAAGGTAAAGTTGGCTTTCATAGAGATTAAACAATTTATAGAATTATTACTTTCCTTTCTCACATCAGGTACCATGTCTGCTAGGAAATAACTTTCTTTCATAATCAAGACTCTAATGATTAGTCTAGATTATGAAAGGAAGTTGTCTCCTGGCAATGACATGGTACTTGAGGTGAAAAAGGAATTCTGAGGCAAGGAGTTCTGGTGGTGCAATGGTTAAAGCATCTGGCTGCTATTGAAAAGGTCAGCAGTTCAACCCAGCAGCTGCTCCCGGGGAGAAAGATGAGGCAGTCTGCTTTCATAAAGATTTACAACAGTGGAAAGCCTGTGGGGGCAATTCTACTGTGTCCTATAGGGTTGCTTTGAGTTACAATCAACTGGAAGGCACTGTCTTTTTTTTTTTTTTAATCATGAGGATGAAACATTATTTTAAATATATATCACACACAAAAGTCATAGATATGAATACAATACAAAATATGGAGAAAGCTTCCTGGGATCAAATTTTAACGTGAGCCTTTCTGGCTTTAGATCTATTTGGACATGATTCTACCTGATTTACTGTATGGCTAAATGTTTCCCTATATTATTGCTTTGGGTGTGAATACTTCCTGTCTCCTAGGTGCACATGCAGTCATAAGGATGGAATAAACAAAGGCTATGGGAGTCCCTGATGCTGTGCTGGTTGTGTCCCCATGTGCTCTCTCAATCAATTCCCACAGCACCCTGTGAGTGGACATTATCATTACTTTTACAAATAAGAGAATAAGGATGTAAGGTGCTGAGAAATATATCCCAAAATCTACATACAAAAGAATTTTAAATGCCAGATTCTAGATCTTGTTTTCCTGTTCCCAAAGCCACAAAACTGAATTACTGTCTTTGCCAGTCTTAGACAGTCATTTTCAGCATTTTTTGCAGAAGAATTTCAAGGTCATGCTTCGCAGGAGTAGTACAGAGGGGTTGTTGTTGTTGTTATGTGCCATGGAGTCGGACCTCACTCATAGCAACCCCTCCTTGGGTTTCAGAGGTGGTATCACTATGGAAGTAGATTGCCAAACTCCTTTCCAAGGAGTGGCTGGTGGGTTTGAACCACCAGCCCTTTGATTTGCAGTCAAGTGCCTTAGACACTGTTAGGATGGGCCAAAACTAACCCTGCGGCACGATGATTAAGTGCTTTGCTGTAAACCAAAAGGTTGGACATTCAAACCCACCAGTCTATGAGTGGCAGAAAGATTTGGAAAGTTGTTCCATTATAGATTGCAGCCTAGGAAACCTTATGGAGTAAGGTCACATGGTGTGGGATGAGTGGGAATTGACAACATACAAAAATAGCAGGGGCTGAGGGAAACACCTAGATGAAAGGCTCTTCAAAAAAGACAAAAAAACACATTTTTGTTAGTATTCGAGAATCCCGGTATTTATTTATTTACCCTTCTGTCTACATCTCTCTATGCTGCAGATGAAATTGTTTTACATAAAGTTGCCTCTGCCCTTTTTTTGTCACTTGATCTGGGGAAGAATTCTCAAGTTGTCTTGTCTTTTACTCCCTAAAGTACAAAGTAAGTATAAAAATGGTAGTAGCAACATAGGTTTGGCTCTTGTGTTATTTCTTTTTATTCCTACCATCTGAGTCCTGCCCTATTGTGCCAACTTCTGGTCTGCCTTCCTGTCTCTGATTTCCAGTAACTTAATGAATCCTATTCAAGATAAACAAAACATTTTCAAGACCAAATCCTCAAGACTCCTCCTTCCTCAAATTACTCTACATCCTTCTACTCATATTCTCAAACACCTTCCTTGGTTCTCTATTTCCTAAAGAGTAAAAGAAAAATTGCTTCACTTCACACCCCTGGCTCAGCGGCCACTGTGTGTACTGTCCACTCCTTCAGACTGTACACGCGTTGATCTCCTGTCCTGTAAATTCACAGAAGCATCTTATGTTTATATTCTTAACAAAATCTTTAGCCAGGAAGTAGTTTGATTAGTCTTCAATAATTTATGACTTCAAAGTATACACTCAAGAGAAAAGAAATACTAAAAAACA